GTAGATACAGTATATAGAAGAAAAAAATGTGGGAAATAACAGCAAATAACCCAGCCATATTTCTACATGACACAGCTCAGTGTATATTATTCATTTAGGTGAAAGGTGAGACATTCAAGAGCAAAATAAGGAATCTATCCTTACCTGACTAGGCTGTTAATTTCCCTCAGCAGAGCTAGAAGGGCTGGGTAGGAGACAGAACGATTATCTTTTTTTGCTCTTGGCATTGAAATCCTTGTTCTTGCTCTCTGAATCGATAGTGACAACTTAGCCGCTTCCCTCTTTCATGCCCTTGCAGTATCTACTATCTTTGACAACTCTGGCAGCTGCATCAATAAACAAACGGGTGTTCTTCCTCCTCTCTTCCCTGCGTGTCACTTGACTAAATGGGTCTGCTGGCCTTCATTACTGGAACAGAGGAGATCAACAAGGGAGGCACCTGTTGCTACTAGCTAGACTGGGCACCAGAGCAGTGTTTTGGGTGGTTTTTTTTTTGGTTTTTTTACAAATGGCTGAGGGAAAATCTGTCTCACCTCAGCTGGATTTTTTTCATTAAATTTGAAAAAGATAGAAATAACATTTAATTAAAGTCACAACAAAGATGTTCACAGGTTGGGATGGTTTGTAACCATTTAGGTACTGTCCATAGCACTATTGTAATTCTTTATCACAGCAAAGGACCAGTTTTTTTTATTTTATGTATGTATGTATGTATGTATGTATGTATGTATGTATGTATGTATGTATTTAATTTATATGCTCTTTTTTATATGCTCTTTTTTTTTTTGCAAGCAGTGTTGTTGTGTTGATGTCCCCTGGAAGAACTCCCAGTACCTAATTCCTCATGAAATTAGTTCCATTCACATTTTGTTGCAAACTGAGTAACAAAGTGCAATTATCTCATCATGCTCACAGTTTTCAGTGTTTAAGCTTTGGAGATAAACCTACACTATCATTATATCAGTAATGTGTATAGGCTTGGTGGGAGTGGGATTCTCTTGTTTCACAATTCTGTGTAACGTAGAGCAGACAGTGCAGAAGGATAGAATGCCACATCAACTATGTTGCATGCTACTCCTTATAGAAAACAAAAGACCCTCCATTCTTTCCTTAATGCTTGTGGGCACTTGCACTGTTAACAACTTCACCCCTTGGACTTTCCGGATGTTTGTGTGAGTACCATCATGGCTCCTGTCTGGGACTTTGGTGGATAAGGAAGGGAAGGAAGGGCTATTTTGTTTTCAGTGAGAAAATGGGAAAAATCTATACCTCTGTCAATACTTACTTTAATTTCCTTGGTGTGTTTTCCTTCATAGGAAGGGAACAAGGAAATTACAAAGGAAATAGCAAAGCCACCCATAGCAGAGCAGGTGGAGGGGGGGGGAAGCTAGCCACCATGGCACCTTGATTTCATGATGGAATTGGGCAATCTCAGGATACCCAAAAAATTTTATACAAGTGAAAAGCCATCTGCAAAAGCCAGTGTTTCTGCTAGATCTGAGATAAAGGTTTATTGGCTCAGTTACCCAAGTAGGGGACGGGGAGGGGGATTGCCTCTCTCAGATGCCCATCCCTAAAATGGAACAGAAAGTTATCACCTCTTTGAGGGCTCACTGTTATCTTGGGAATATATTGAAGACTGCTAGCAGTAATGGGAGCAGAGCACTCTATTATTCTATACCATAACCCCATCTTCTCTCTGATATGCTGAATGATTCCCTGGACCCAACCTGCTATTTATAGGGGCAGCTTTGGTAGAAATACAGCAAGGACAGAACGGGGTCAGTTAGGTATCCAGAACATCCTACCCACCATTCCTTTAGTGAGCATCCTAAATTGGTGGGTGATCCTCTTGACAAGGTATTTGGGGACAAGATTAGTCTCTCTCCTCTTTGCCCCTCTCGGTTTCCCATGAACCCTTGAAATAGAACGATATGCAAGATGCATTCTGGTATGTCTTCTGGCTGCATTTTCAAATTAAAAATAATTGTTTGGCAGCAAGATGGCTTTGGGAGAGTTCTACTGGCACCAGAGAGCAGCTTTTGGACCTGTTAACTCAATACAGATGTGTTTTGTTGTAGGCTCAACAATTCACTTCTTAAGCTGAAATTTGTACCACCAGCCCATTGTGGCCGCGTCAGTTCTTCTGGTTATGCAATCTCACTAAGGACACTTAATGGCTCCAGGAGATTGACAGAGGAAATTTGTAGCACCATGGAAGGGATGATATGACTCCCAAGAGGAGAAGCAGGCTACAGTGTAGGTTTTACTTCCATCATTCTTGTGGCTTCCGCACAAAATTCATCAGTTGTTCGGGGCTTGTATGTGCAGCTGCCCAACCCTTGGGAAGAATGTGAGAGGTTCATTCCATCTTTGTAAAGCAATGATTGCAGTTGGGCAACCTGGACTCCATATAGCCTTCTGAGAAAGGTCAGTTCCGAAAAATTATGTTGAAAGTTCTTTAACTGAGTTTAGAAAAGATTTGGTAGGTTTACGTGTTGATCACTAGAGAACCCTGGAAAGTATTTTATGACTGCCTCTTTGTAAGGGTGTGTGCTTTGCTCCCCCTCACCTAATAGTTCATGTAAACAAATTTTAGATGAGTAATTGTGTGTGCACACTACCGCTATGCAGTTGGCCATGAAATGAACAAGTGTGTTGTATTTTAGATGGTGAGCACTACTGTGTATTTCTTGAACATTTTGTCTCTGCGTTAATGTTTTCTTGGTGCTCTGGTGATGGTTTTTAGTATATGTATATTACTTTAGCCTCCTTTTGGGGCAAGGAAAGGAAGGCAGATGCCGGATTTATGCTTTTGCTTACACAAATTCTATAGTTACTGCTGTATAATGGTTGTTAATAGTTAGTATTTGGATGTGTACCTGTGTGTGTCTGTATGTGTGTGTATACATATGCATACATGTATGCATGCATCTTTGTGCTTCACGAGAAAGAATTGTGGTAAGTTAGAATTGTGAGTCCATTTCGGAAGTGCTTGATCTTTGCAGATAAGCGCTTTGTGATCTACACTCTTCCATTAGTTCATCTTTTGTTCCTGAATCAATCTTTGGCTTTTTGCCAAAGAGAAGTCATTTTTTCCCCCTTAAACAAGTGCATTCCATATTGTATTCAAGCAGTTCCAGGAAAATTCATAGAGGCTCCAAAACAAGAAAAAGAACATATTTTCTGATTTTCTCTATGAATAAATATAAAGGTTTTTAATATATATATATGTTACAGCCCTTTTCGAACTCGCCTAAAATCCACATAGAAAGCAGTTTTGAAGCATCAAATATGTGATCTAATGCAACTATGAATTATATCAGGGTTCTTTCATACAAGAAAATAAATAGACGTTTAATCTTACTTATCTGACAAGAGCTCTGGCTGAATTGTTCTATTTATTCAACGTTAAAACAAAACAATATGACCTTTTTGACCAAAGTCCTATTTAGCGCACTGGCAAAAAACTCACCAGTCTTTGAGCTGACAAAAAACTTGCTCTGTTGATCACCAAGTCCTATTCTATCTCTATAAATGGGATTAACAACTGGTGCTGCCCAGGGACAAATTAAGGGACAAATTAAGGCATATGATTGGTGGAATCCTTCATTTCCTCCCCTACTAAATTTCAGCTGTTTTCCGGTGGAAAAACAACCACCAATTACTGCCATTAACAGGTTGGGCAAGTATAGGTAAGTGTGGAGCAGTGTGTTTAACCATCTGTCAGATTTCCTGACTAACACATCATAGATACATATCCTTAATCTAACATTGGTTCCCACGGTGGTGGATTAAATACATACTCACAAACAGATTATTGGAGATAACAGTGCCCTCCCATTTATGTTCCCCAGCAACCAGTAGAGAGAAGCATGCATATTCAGCCAACTTTTTCATTATATTCTCCATTGCAGTTGCCAAGATTTATTTTCTGGCCAAGTAAAACCAAACAGACCTGTGTAGGGGCCCCAAAAAACCTCCTATATTTTGTACTTCCTGGCTTACAGCAAAAGGCAGAGGTTCAGCTCCTCCTAGAATGCCATTTATGGGAAACTGTTTATATTTTTGTAGTTTTACATTTCCTGTGCTGGGGTTTCCTATATCATTGGATCAATGTGAAACACAACTGCTATAAAAAAATATCCTGTGTTCAGATAATGGGGAAAAAAAGAAAGCGTGAAGCGTCCCGTGCAATTGTTTTGGCTCTGATTCATCAGTGCTTCTTCAACTGCAATGAGTTCCTATGTATGGGGCAGACCTCTGGGACACAGATTGATGCCTCTTCTGTGCAGAGAACATGAGGACATATGACACGAATTTCCGAGGGTTCAATTGGTAGAGCAGCAATGTTTATTCTCTTGGTAACCAAAAGTGGATACCAGCCCAGAAATCATTTTAAATTTCAACTAGGACAGGGGTCTACATACTTGGCAACTTTAAGACTTGTGAACTTCAACTCTCAGAATTCCTTAGCCAGCCATGCTGACGGAAAAATTCTGGGAGTTAAAATCCATAAGTCTTAAAATTGCCAGGTTTGGAGACCCATGAACTAGGACTGTGGTGGCGAAGCTATGGCACATGTGCCCCAGGTGGCACGCAGAGCTCTCTCTGTGGGCACGCGCATCGTTGCCCCAGTCCTAGGCCTTCAGCTGGGTTTTATAAAACCTTTTCGCTTTAGGCCTCCACCACCATGTGCAAAAAAAAAAAAGGTTCAATCAATCAATTTCAACTCGCGGGGGAAAAAAGATCTCTCAAAGTTGGAATTGATTGATTGAATTTTTTAGTCCCACCCAGTCTGCCGTTACCACCGCCACTACGCCCACCCAATGGGCCAAACCCACCCAATGGGCCACGCCCACCCAGCACCTGATGATACATAAGTGGGTTTTGGGTTGCAGTTTGGGCACTCAGTCTCTAAAAAGATTTGCCATCACTGAACTAGGAGATCTGGCTTAACTGACGATTTCCTTGTCTTCTTTCTCTGGTCTTCCATGCAGAAGTTGGACACACCCAAGGACCCCTGGATGGAAGCCTCTATGCCAAGGTGAAAAAGAAAGACTCGCTTCACGGCAGCACTGGCACTGTCAACCCCAACCGGCTTGCCCTCTCTGCCGCCCCCAACCACATTGAGCACACGCTCTCGGTAAGCAGTGATTCAGGGAACTCAACTGCTTCCACCAAGACAGACAAGACTGATGAGCAGGCAGCACCTTCGGTTCCCAGCAGCAGTGGAGGAAACAACCCTATTTTGACTCCCGAAGAAAAGCGGGAGCTTGAGAGTTTGCTTAGTGGATTTGGTTTGGAAAACGAAGCCACCATGCACAACCACAGCCCCAGTGAGGTAACAGCAGCTCTTTCTGCTTCACCAGGCCGCCATATCATACCAGCTCAGGTTCATGTCAATGGGGAAGCTGCTGGCTTAGTGGCTGAGAGGGAAACCGACATTTTGGATGATGAGTTGCCCAACCAGGATGGACACAGTGTGGGTAGCTTAGGTACCCTCTCCTCTTTCGATGGCACTACCAACACCAGTGACATTGGCTATCATGAGGCTCCCCGGATGGAGAGCCTCAATTCCTTACCCAATGGTTCATCCAATTTCAATGGCTTAGACAAGCTGCACGATTCGGAGATGGTTATCAATGGTGGTTATCCCTACAACAACCAGAATGCCTTGCGGAACATCATGGGACGTCACCCTCATGATCCTTATGCGCACATCAGGCCCTCAGTGTCTGCCCAAGAAAATTTGGCTGATTATCACCAGCATGGCTTCCCCACTCCTGGCTGGTTACAACCCCAGCCACCAGCCTCCAGCCAGCAGTATCCCTATGGCTACGACTCAAATAGCATATATCGCTCCCAGTCCTTCCCCACAGCTACTGCTGAAATCTCCCAGCTTCCTCAAGCACCAGCCCGGAGCACAAGTAGTCGAGAAGCTGTCCAGAGGGGGCTTAATTCTTGGCAGCAACAAGGTGGAGGTAGCAGACCACCATCACGTCAACAGGATGGTGCTCGAGACAGCCATAGTTCCAGCATTGCTAGTGCAAGTCCCCAGTCCAGCCCTTCACAAGCAGCACCCTCTCAAAGCATAAGCATCCCCGAATTCCCTAGAGTTGCCTCCCAGAGGGAAATAGAACAATCCATTGAAGCTCTCAATATGCTCATGCATGACCTGGATCCCCCGGTCTCCGTAATGCCTAAATCCCAGAGTGTTCCATTGGCTACCAGAGAAGATAGGCCGCATCTAGTAGCTCTTTCAATGTCTGCCCAACCTGTGATAGGATCTCAGGTGGTGCAACCAAAGGCTACCAATGCTTTTGGCTTGATTCCAGGAAGCCCTTCACAAAACTCTCTTGGCTCCAGTGTGCCCCAGATGGCCGAGCCAATACCTAAAGCGCATCCTATGAAACTATTGCTCAACAGTGTTGGAGAACCGGAGTGTCCAGCACAAGATCTCAGAGAGGCCTATTCTCCATATGGCTATCAGAATCAACAGCCATCTGTAATACAAGGAAAGAGCCTTGGGCAGATGGCAGGAAGCCCACCCACATCTCTCAGGCCCCACGCAGCAGCATGCAAAGTCATGGAAGGGCAGCATCCTCTGCTGATATCACCTCCCTCATCCACAACAGCAGTCCAAACTCAGATGCTCTTAAACGAGGCTGAGCATCACGGGGAAACCTCTCAGGCCTCAGGGGAAGAGCCTTTGCATCTTGAAGGTCTGGTGGCCCACAGAATAGCAGGTAAGAAAGTCTTGCTGTAGGTTTTTAATTTGAATAAGCCGCCTGTGTTTTAGGGCCCTAAATGTGGATTTTTGTAAGTCATCGGATGTGTGCTTTTTTTCAGGAACTTGCTTTTGTTCAGATGGCTTTATTCAAATTAGAGTGATAAACTCAACTCTTCCCATAAAATGCAGAAATGAAAAGACTGCAGGGCTGAAAATACAGAAAACGTTTCATTTTCACTCACAGTGGCCTTTTCCTAAACATGACCAGATTTTTCAATAGTTGCTATTGACTATTTATTCAGTTCTAAACAATGGCCTGGGCACTGTGCCTCATACTGTATCTGCATGTCATGCCCAAGGAGGTTTGTGTTCTAGGAGGTTGAGGATTGAGAGGTTGGAAGGGGCCAATTGGTGGTGCAGTAAATGAAATTCAAGCATTGATGTAGCTAGAGGAAGGGGCTGCCCTGGCAATTCATGAAGGAAAATGCATAGCTAAAAAATTCCCTTAATTATGCATAGCAATGCATGAGTCAGTATGGGGGAAGGGCGACATGATCTTAAATATTTCATGGGTTATTGTCTTGGGCCAGTAATGGCTAGCATTTTTAGCAAGTGTGTCATATGCAAATGCCAAGCTTTTGATAGGACCAGCATAGTTTGTATTATAGTTTGTATTATTATAATCTGCCTCTATTGCCTGCTAAGCTGGAGGAACAGACATTACTACCACTTTATAAAGCCTTAGTAAGACCACACCTGGAATACTGCATCCAGTTTTGGTTACCACATTTCAAAAAAGGTGTTGAGATTTTGGAAAAAGTGCAGAGAAGAGCAACTAAGATGATTAAAGGCCTGGAGACTAAAACATACGAACAGTTGCAGGACTTGGGTTTGGCTAGTCTAGAGAAAAGAAGGACTGGGGGGGGGACGACATAATAGCAGTATTCCAGTATTTGAGAGGCTGCCACAAAGAAGAGGAGGTCAACCTATTCTCCAAAGCACCAGAAGGCAGGAGAGGAAACAATGGATGGAAACTAATCAAGGAGAGAAGCAACCTGGAATTAAGGAGAAATTGCCTAGCAGTGAGGACAATTAACCAGTGGAACAGCAGAAGTGGGGTGGTGGTGGTTCATCACTGGAGGTCTTTAAGAAGAGACTAGACAGCCACTTGTCTGAAATGGTATAGGGTCTCCTGTTTGAGCAGAGCACTTGTCTGAAATGGTATAGGGTCTCCTGTTTGAGCAGGGACCTAGAAGACCTTCAAGGTCCCTTCCAGCTGCATTCTGATTGATTGATTGACTGCAGCTAGAATTGTCCCATTTGAAGACTAGAGGATCCCCAACCACCACTTCAACCTAGGAGGAGTGTGAATCCCTGCTGCCTAAATAGCATTACTATATGTTGGCGATCTGTAATCTGTACTTAGCATCTTCATTAACGTGAGATAACGATGAGCACCACAAACCTTTCCCAAAGCTTTTTTTTTTCTGTGTGTGTAGAGAATTCTCTTCCTTCCTTCTCCCAAAAGGAGAAAAATTGATTTTACTTCCCTGAATTTGGGTGCTCTCCCTGGCTTCTGATAGCCATAGCTAATTCATGGGCTGGTTCTGTGCATCTATGCCTCACTTGCCCTAAACTGACATCTTTATAAACTCAAGAAATCCTGAATTTCTAATGTATAACTGTTAGCAGTTGACATTAAAGCATACAATACAACATTGTTGGATAGATTGGATCCTGGGGAGAAATTACTCAGCAACTGCTAGGGTGACTGTGGCGAACAAGACTGGGCTTTGATTTGATCTGATATTCAGTGAATGAGGGAGCTGGCAAAAAGCTGTTAGCGTCTTTGCTGCAAGCTGCTGATTTAGGAAGGAAATGTCCACCACACCCACAGAGGCTCAATATTCCATAGCCTCGGGTGCTTGTTTCATGTCTTTTTTCTGATGCTCAGAGGACGGGAAGACTTGGGCAGGGCTCTGCATCCTCTGAACTGAGAAAGTGGTATTCAGTAAGAACAAGTAATGTGCATGAGTTTAAATGCATGCTATATTCATAATTGTTTCCCTTTTTGGTGAAAAAGGCTTTGCTGAAGACCTTTGTCTTTGCAGTGCTAGATATCTGAAAAAGCAGCGGAATCCCACTTTTTCCTAGAGGGCCTATATGGCATAGAAAGGACAAGGTACTTTGGCTTATAAACCTAGGCGAAAACTCTCTGTTATAATCAGTGGAAGGAAATTATAATAATCTGAAAAAACTTTAGACCAGGGGTAGTCAACCTTGGCTCTTTTATGACTCGTGGACTTCAACTCCCAGAATTCCTGAGCCAGCTAAGCTGGCTCAGGAATTCTGGGAATTGAAGTCCACGAGTCATAAAAGAGCCAAGGTTGACTACCCCTGCTTTAGACTGTAAGATCCTCACTCCTGCCCCATCACTAAGGGCAGGCTCAACAGCCTCTTCTTCTACTCCAGTGATAATTTTAACAGACTAAGAGAACAACAGAGTTGGAAGGGATCTTGGAGATCTTCTAGTCCAAGCCTCTTGCTCAAGCAGGAAACTCTCCAGTGGTTCTTTACCTGGGCAATATCGCCCCCGGGGGGCAATTTCGTTTTTCAGGGGGGCGATGGAACGAAAAGTGGCGATGCGGGGGGGGGGCGAAGGAATGAAAAGGGGGCGATATGGGGGCGATGGAGCAAGAAGTTTTGGGGACACTTTTGAGACTTTTTCGTACAGTGAATGGCTGCATATCTGTCGTACAAAAACATCAGATCGCTCGCTATTAGTGGATTGAATTGTGTTTTCAAATGCTCCTCCAGCTAGCTTCAGTACAGAACGCCGTACATTTGTGAATACGCATCGCTCATTTTCATGCGCGTTGCGCAGCAGCCTCTACCCATACAGTGGTGCGCCATTAGCCAGAATATGGGAGATATGGGAAAAAGACTGGAAATAAATTATTTGCATCTATATGTCCTGATGACAATTTTAAAGAAAACAAAAAAAAGTGTTTGCATAAATTGAAGAATTATTTCCTATGTTGTGATTGAGAGGTTATGTTGGGGGAGGGGGGCGATGACAACTTCCTCATTGGCTCAAGGGGGCGATTCGTTCAAAAAGGTTAAGAACCACTGCTCTATACCATTTCAGACAAATTGTTGTCCAATCTCTTCTTAAAAACCTCCATACCAGTTCTTCACGTGCTTTTTAAACATCTCTCTTCAGGCATAGATGTGACCACCTTGAAAAACATGTTTATCCAAATCCTGATGATGAAAATCTTCCCATCTTAAGACAGTCTTGAGTTTTTACTTACATAACAGATCCTCGATTTCATTCCATGTAGCACATGACAAGAACTAAGCATGTTATGCCTTGGATGCCATGAAGCTTTTAAAAATGCATTCAGCCAAGCCTTCCTTTGAATCGAGATGGATAGGTTAATTTTGAAACAATAAGTAAGTGCCTTCATCATATAGGAACAAAGTTGCGTATTGAACATACTTTGCCCAAGCAGAAATTACAGAGGATACACTTTCCAAAACTGTCTTTGGGATTAAAGCTCTGGAATTCTCTTTAAACCACAATACACAGCGGTGAGGAAATATTGTGATGATTGTACTTGGTATGCAGTAGTGTCAGCCTCAGAGATGGTAATTAGATGAAAAAGTATTTAATTGTAGAACCACTCAGAAATGTCCTGCATCTAATCCAGCCCTCAGTACCAGCCAAAGCTGCTGTTCAGCTTCTGGGCCATGGGCATTAAAAGTATTTAGCAGAGAGAAAACGGTTTAGTTGAGAATAAAGAAAACAGTAAGGTGAAAAAAAAAACAACCAGTTTCAAGGCTGATTCACTGTGCTATCTTGGAATGTGTATAGATACACATAATTTAAGTAGTGAACCTGTGATAGAAATATGTTCCCTATGTTTACTGTGAGTGTCCAGTATTCTTACATAGGCTGAACTCACATAAAAGGAATTGTTTTTGTTCACACAAAACGTAGCAGTAGGTAGTGCTTCTTTGCCTGCAGTTGGCAGTAATGCCCATAATCCTCTGATTCTTCATTGTCTCCAGAACAGTGCTTCAGTGTTTTGCAAAAGAAAGTACTTTTTAGAACATGTTCAAAATCTCCATTTTAGTAAAGTTACAAGAGAAATGAGTTCAGTTCTGAATTGTGTGAACGTGTCCAATGTATGTGAACAGATGCACGAGCGTGCCAAATACAGGTTTCTGGATCTGGAGATGTAGTTTGACAATTCAAAAAAAAAAAAAAAGGAAATATGAAAATGCATTTATTACATAAAAGAGAACACTAAAATATACCCCTCAGGAAAAGTATGCACAAAGTCACTTACTATGTCAGTCTGCTGGGGAGATGGAAAGTACGTGGTATATGGAAAAGCATGTCTATTTAGAGAAATGCACACAAAGTGCATATGAAATTTCACGTTGACTTTTTATTTTGAATTCCAAATCGTGTGTGTGTGCAAGAGCACAAATATAAGATTGGAAAAATGAAAAATCAGGAAAAAAAATTATTAAAACTTGAAAGCAAACAACTGACATGCTAGAGAATGATGAGAAGGAAATGTCCAGAACACGCTGAAAGAGCAAGGGCCAGTATGTTATTTACAATGACTTGCTATAAATTGCCTGTTTGTTCCAAGACAAGTATGTGTGGAATTTCACAGATCATCCTCCTGCCTGGTTCTCCCTGTCATGAGAACTCCAGTTTCCTAATCAGGGGCAGAAGAGCCCCCCCCCCCACTGCAGTGATTACCACAAAATGTCTCTAGGAGGATTTGCTCTCAGGAAAAGCTGTGAGAATCCCTGCACACCCCAAGAGAATTCATAAACTAAATGGAAGTCTTGAAACAATGAGCACAACCTGTTTGAGTCCTGCTTCACAATCCATTTTACTACTCTTGGATTGGGTTTGCCAGATTTTAACAACTCTGTCATCTCCTCTGGATCCTTTAATCCAGGGGTAGGCAACCTTGGCTCTTTTATGTCTCG